GGGGCAAAGGGGGAGTGAGAAGAGGGAGCAAGGATGGTGGGAAAAATGAGAGAGGAGGAAATAAGGAGGGAGGACAGGAAGTAGCCACAGTTGTACCAGAGCTGTGGGGAGCGCTGGCAAGAAAGAGTCTTTATATTCCCTTGGGGGGTCAAGCTGTTTACAGCAGCAGTGTTGGTGTACAGACAGAAGAAAAAAAACGACAGGAACAACAATATACATACTGTACATCTCTGCACAGAAAGTCAAGTGTTCAGTAACGACAAGAAAGAGATGAAAAGCAGACATCTTGGAGTTCCAAGAAGCCGGCTGTTTTCTGTGGAGAGCAGAGAAGTACTGTAGAAGTTGAAGCGCTGGTTTGTGGTGGAGCGAAGCAGAAACCTCACAGCAACCCTGATTGCTGCAGTAGCTGCGGGGGGATACATAGGAACGAAGAGGATGAATGTTGGGGATGGGGAAAGGATGGGGAAAGGAAGGAAACATCTGTCGCTGGCAAGAGCAAGTGACAAGTGTGAGGAAGGATGCACATAGCAATGTTCAGGAGGGAAGATATTTATAATTAGGGAATTAGAAATTAGAATTTGACCACCTCTTGAACTTCTGAACTTCTTTAAAAAAAAAAAACTCCATAGTTTGAAATCAGGTTTTGTGTTTACCTTTATCATGACCCTTTATCATAGTTAAAAAGATCAGTCTTGGTCAGTAAGAGTATCAGTGTGAAAAAATGTATTTACCGTGCTTTTAATCGGTTACAGGCTGTCTCAGTGAATTGGGAATAGGTAAAAAGCCTTGACAAATAAAGAGAAATGATCAAAAACTAAAATTCAAGAACATTTTTACAAGATGGTAACTTTACCCTGTACATTGGAGAAAGAAAAATTGAACTAAATAAAGCTCAACAGCCAAAGCAAGGTACAGTATTAGTCTGGGCAGCACCGCTGAAATTGGGTGTAGTTAAGAGGAGAGCTTTTTGTCAGGTTTCAGGTGTGAAGGTTTGACAGACTTTTGTCAGGTGTGAAGAAAAAACTAACAATGCCCTTCCATATATTCAGGTGTCAGAGTTGGTTTACTGGAGATTTTCACCTTTTACAGTAGATACTTCTAACCATACTTATCAAGAGGTCCTAGAGTGAAGAAAACCCTAAACCATTTTGACCACTTCCAATGTTATAGATTTTCATTGAACTTCCTGTTTTGGTTAAACAGAATCCTTCCTTAGCAAATTCCAGCCAGATTCCTTCTTCACCATGCTTCTACAGTGTCCATACCATGCCATGTAGATGTTTTGACTAAAGAACATAGGAGATCATGTGAATTATCCTAACCTCAAAAAGCCAGAGAGGTTGAAGAAGTGAGAATCTATTACTTATATTGACAATTGTACTGTGTTTGAAAAACAAACGTGATAAAAACTAAATTGAACTTTGCATATGAGGCTTTGCATCAAATTAATACCCTCATCAAGAAGGACTGCTTCACTTGGAATACTGTTTTGCTTGTGTACTGCAGCTTTTGTGTCTTGTGTTTTGTAAGTCGCTGCTATTTTTAGTGTCAAATGATTTCTAGTATGGGATGAGTTTACTTCCTTTCCGGTGGTTTGCAGCTGCTGACCCAGATCTGTCACCTGACATTTTAACAGCAAAGAAACCAAATTCATGGGGAGGGAGTGATAGAAGACAGAGAGGAAGGGAGAGACATAAAGACTGATTAGGAAAGATAAAAAATGAAGAGTAATGAGAGAAGATACTATGTTTACTTGTATCACTGATATTTAAAAAATCAAATCTATCAAAAGTAGTACAACATGTATGAAAATATTTCACTAAACGAAATTTGCAAAGTAGCAAAAAGAGCGTTTTCTGTTGTAAAAGCACTTCCATGAAGGAATAACACATTTAAGCAAATTATACAAATAATGAAGAATTCCTAAGAGCTTAATTCGTAAAATCTGCTTGGTAGAGATGGATTTGAATCACAGTGGGACATCCTTTAAAAATGAGGATGAGCCCTACTACAGTATACTGTATACCGTACCACAATTATTAAGCCTTAAAAACATGTTGATATTTAAATCTATCTGAGATATATTACTCAAGTAAAGCATAAGAAAAATAGATGTGCAATTGCTTGCTGCTACAACAACAAATTTTGAATTTTTAAATATTTGCTTTACAAGGATTCCTACTAATAAAAGCATTTGCAATATAAAAACAGGTAATTGGTTGTTAGGCATGATGGACCCACAGAGGAAAGGATAATCAAGCTGTAATAATCTAACCACATTTGTTTCACAAATGATTTTGTCTAAGGATCAAGACTGCTGGATTATCAAAACCTTTTGGTTTAAGCAATTTAATTGCAGTACAAGGACATACTGTAGGTAATGAGGGTATTAAGTCGTTAACAAGGGATGTGATACTGATTGAATAGGTTTTTTTACATTTCCAGATAGCAGCACATCTCTAATTGTAATGTGTGACATATTATTAGCCCGTGTTAA